ATGGGTAGGATTATAGAAATAATTTTTTTGTTTTATTTTGTAATATAATTTTTACATATTATTAAATAAATATATATATTTAATATCATAAATTTTATATAAATTATAAAAAAAAATAAGGTAAAAAATATTATACAAAATCATTTACTTATTTTAGTAAAACTTAGGGCTTATTTTATTTGCTTATTGGAAGACGAAAACAAAGAGTATGGATATATTCATTATTTGCAAGTATTTTATTTATTTGGGTAAGTAATTTACCTAAATTATAAAAAAAAAAAGGTAAAAAATATTATACAAAATCATTTACTTATTTTAGTAAAACTTAGGGCTTATTTTATTTGCTTATTGGAAGACGAAAACAAAGAGTAAAAGGTCGCTGCTCTATTTAGCGGGAGCAGACGGCACCTAAAGGTCATCTAAGCTGTGGTAGTTGAAGACGACCCGCAGGCCAGAGTTTGGAGGAAAAGCACAACTCGTTGCTCACCCAAATCTCGTTGGCGCCACCCTCTGTGTTTTAGAAATTTGGTTTCTCTCTCCTTCCCTTCCTTTACCTTGCTTTACCTTCTCTTCAAATCTTCAAACTTAATCAACCAATAATGCCAATGGTCTCTTCATTTTTCTATCATTTTTCCTCTCTCCCATCTTTTCCACTTCCCTTTCTACACCCCCAATACGCCAGCGCAAATGGGTATACTCAAAATTTTCAGCTTTTTCACTCCTCGGAACCGCCGGGACTTCCTCCCCTCTTCAAACTCCATTCGCCAAAATCTTGTGAACAATGGGACTACCGACCTACAAGATGGAATTCTCATTTCTTTTTTTGGGTTCTTCCGGCGGCGTTTTAGGTCCGGAGGTGAGTCAGGTTCTGTCATTTCCTTTTGTGGGTTTTATTCGTTTGAGTTGAATTCGATTAGCCTGCTTTTCTTTGGGATATGTAGATAAAATTGATGGGGGCTCGCGGACGGATGAAGAACAAAAAGTTCATCGTTGGTTGTATGCCTTGGCACAGTCTGAGAAAGATTTGGTCTTTGAGTATGTTCGATCAACAGAAAGGGGTGAGTTTATTTTAGGGAATTAATATTGTTAGAAAAATAATTTTGCTTGTTAATTTGAATCTCGTATCAAAATTAGTAATGTTGTAGTTCTGGTGTGTTGATATGCTTGATTCAATGCTTGTTAGGAGATGCCTATGAAGCATACTGTTAGCTAATTTTATGCTTTGACCATGGAATAGGCATCCCATCCAGCCAAACTATTCCTTAGAAATGGCAATCAATGGTCACCACTTAGTGCGCTTTGGACTCTAGTATGATCCCAAAATGGCCTTAGTGCATCTGGGTAAACAGGAAGTTCAAGTTTCAGTAGATACATTAATGATTAATAATATGATTCCTTGTCATATTTATATTTTCCTTTTCCATTTTGAATTTGCTCATCTTTTTGCTTTTGTGTAGGGTTGAGTTTCACTGAAGCTGATAAGAGATTGAAGGAATATGGCCCAAATGTTCCTCTTGAATATACCTTTTCAAATTGGTGGCAACTTTTGTGGAATGCCTTCTTTCATCCTTTCAATATCATTCTAATTGTTTTGTCAGTACTCTCGTACATTGCCAGTGACAATCCAACTGGATGCATCATGCTGAGTTTGGTCTTTATCAGTGTCTCTTTCCGATTCTACCAGGTATCTTACAACTATAATGCTCTATATCAACCAAGTGGTCTACATTGATATTTCTTTAACAATCATAACTACTATTGTATATACTACCTAGGAATATAGCAGTTCAAAAGCAGCCATGAAACTTTCAGAATTTGTAAGGTGCCCTGTTAAAGTGCAGCGATGTGCAGGAAGATTTGTTCAGAATGAAATAATAGTTCAAGTTGATCAAAGAGATGTTGTTTCAGGAGATATAGTGATTTTTGAGCCTGGTGACCTTTTTCCTGGTGATGTGAGATTATTAAGTTCCAAACAACTGGTTGTAAGGTAGGCCTTAAAAAACTTTTTCACCTTTGAATGAGGATTTAAAATTCTCTCTATGGCTAATGGTTGATAATATTATGACATTTTTGCATATTGGAACAGTCAATCCTCATTAACAGGGGAATCTTGGGCCACTGAGAAAACAGCTGATGTGAGAGAAGAACAGAGCACTCCTTTGCTAGATTTAAGAAACATTTGTTTCATGGTAAGTTAGATTGTGCCTCAGTCTTATGTTTTTGCAGTGGAAATAACTCACTTTTGTAACATTGCTGAATTTTAAGATCTATCTTGCTAAGCCTGAAGGTTCACTAGACAGAGGAGAATATTTCCATATTTGGATTGTGTTCTACCAGAAGACAAGCAAGAAAAACAAGAAACCTAACTTCTGTTTGACATTGATTATGCCAAGGAAATAACTTCAGGACTCGCTTTTCAAAGATTTCAAATTCACATTTATTATATTGCTTAACAGTGGTAGGAATAAGATATTATTTTTTTACCTTTTCACATGTACCCCTTAATCTGTTCTTACATGGCTCTGTAACCTTTACTGGTTTTCTTGATGTTTTCCAGTCATTTACCTGTTTTATATAAATCTAAGTATGTTGGATGTAGACCCACTTGAATTAATATTAAAACGGTTTCTATTTTTTGGTAATTGGTAGTCTTAGATGACTAATCATGTAGTATGCTGAGATATATATATACCAGTTGTAATGAATGTTTCAGGGAACCAATGTGGTATCAGGATCCGGAACAGGTCTAGTTGTCTCCACTGGATCCCAAACCTATATGAGCACCATCTTTTCAAATATTGGAAAGCAGAAACTACCAAATGGCTTCGAGGAGGGAGTCCGAACGATATCTTATGGGCTCATTGGGGTCATGCTAGTAGTGGTTACTATCATAATATTCGCAGATTTCTTTGCATCTCATGATCTGAGCAAGAGCATAGTTTTTGGTATCTCAGTTGCATGTGCGCTTACTCCTCAGATGCTTCCCCTAATTATCAACACAAGTCTTTCAAAAGGAGCACTTGCTATGGCCAGGGACAGATGTGTTGTCAAAAGCTTATCTGCCATGCGAGACATGGGATCCATGTAAGTGTACTCTAGATTTATTCCATCTATATAAATGGACATAGATCTAAATTTGAAAAGGCAAAATGCAACCAAAAAAAAACAAAAAAGTGCTAAATCAAGCTTGGTTGTGATCTGACCTAAAATCTTAGTTAAATTCATTATTTTTTGCAAGTACAATGCCCTTGATTACCACCTGAGAAGTGCATGCACACAGGCATTTATACACATGCAAGCTCCTTCAGTACCAAATCTTGCCATGATTATCACTAAGTGAAGTAAATAAAAGCAACATGGTAAATAATCTTAGTATGTAATTTTTCTATAACGGTTAACAGAAAAGAACTAGAATCACATAGATGAAATATATCAAATCAGTTAATTATCTATAAGCTATAGCCATGAGCGAAAATAGTGACTCAGCAAATTTGACATGGAATGCTGTCATTGACAAATTTGGAACATTTTATTCAAGTTCAAATTTTTCTAAAGAAAGGAAAAGTGACATGAGTGTCAGAGTGCATTGCTGCATATGCAATGTTGAAAAAGTTTGATCTAATTATAGAGGAAGGACATTGCAAAAGATAACAATCATCAAAATCGCAAAAGTTAGATTAGGTTATATTCTGCATTTAGTCATTCAGAGGGGTGCCTGGAACCATAGATGAGTTCTTTTTTCCTATCTTGCACCTGTAGTACTTTTCATTGTGCCTATAACTAATAATAATTACATAACAGAGGGTTTACTGCTTCAACAAGTAACAACAGTAATCCTTGGTTCCAGCTCCAATTTCTTGAAGAAAGTATATGCATTTTGATGCTGTATTATTAGAAAACTATAATCATTAAGTAATATCATTTTTGGCCATATTCATATTGCCTGTGTTTATATACCATGTTTGCTTGACTTTTGCCCTTTTGATGCTGTATTATTAGAAAACTATGATTGTTAAGTAATATCGTTTTTGGCCTTGTTCATAATGTCTGTTTTTATATACTTGTTTTGTTTCCTCACCTTCTTAGGTTTCCTGTTCTTATTCATTATCTGTGTTCATGTTGTCAGGTTCATTTTGTTGTTTTTGTCGCAGGGATATCCTATGCATTGACAAAACTGGAACTCTGACAATGAACCAGGCAGTCATGGTCAATCATCTTGATAGCTGGGGCTCAACAAAAGAAAAGGTCCTACATTTTGCCTTCCTGAACTCTTACTTCAAGACTGACCAGAAGTATCCTCTAGATGATGCAATTTTGGCATATGTATATACAAATGGATACAGGTTTCAACCATCCAAATGGAGAAAGATGGATGAAATCCCTTTTGATTTTATAAGAAGAAGAGTAACAGTTCTATTGGAAAAACGTTCTAATTCCAAAAATAGCCAAGTCATTGATAGATACATGGTAACAAAAGGAGCACTTGAAGAAGTAATGAAAGTTTGTTCTTTTGTTGAGCATGTTGATCGGGATTATATCACAACTTTCTCTAATGAAGACCATCAGAGGATTTTAAATGTGGTGGAACAATTAAGCAATGAGGGTTTACGGGTTATAGGAGTTGCTGCGAAAAGTCTACAAATGGTGAGTCATTGATCATCTTTCCTTTCTTCTATTTATGCATCTCTTTCTGTCTTGTTTTAATTGCAAGTTTGGAATATTAGATTTACATTTACTTCTTAATGCCAAAATTTTCACTTCTCTTTGCCATCAATTTAATGTCATTTCATGTATTAACATTTAACAGACAATAATGATTAGTGGGGCCCAGTCTCAGTTGGGTCTCGGTTGGGTAGTTGGGTTCTTTGTGAAATGCCTTGCTTACATAATAGCTTTATGTAATATTGCAGAAAGAAAGTGGGCAGAGCATGGACAATGAAGATATTGTTGAAGCAGACATGGTTTTCCTTGGTCTCATATCTTTCTTCGACCCACCTAAGGACTCAGCAAAGCAAGCTCTCTTGCAATTGGCTGAGAGGGGAGTAAAAGCAAAAGTATTAACTGGTGATTCTCTCTCCCTTGCAATAAAGATTTGTAAGGAAGTTGGCATCAGAACAACCCATGTAACTACAGGACCAGACCTGGAGCTACTCAGCCAGCATGCTCTCCATGAGACTGTTAAAAGAGCAACAGTACTGGCTCGGCTTACCCCGTCTCAGAAACTCAGGGTAGTCCAATCCTTGCAGACAGTTGATAATCACATTGTTGGGTTCTTGGGAGATGGCATAAATGACGCACTTGCACTAGATGCTGCTAACGTAGGTATATCAGTTGATTCGGGAGCATCTGTTGCAAAAGACTTAGCTGACATCATTTTACTTGAGAAAGATCTTAACGTTCTTGTTGCAGGAGTAGAACAAGGTCGTCTTACTTTAGGCAACACCATGAAATACATTAAAATGTCAGTCATAGCCAATGTTGGAAGTGTTCTTTCAATAATGATAGCAACCATCTTCCTCAGATACGAGCCACTGACTCCAAAGCAACTTTTCGTACAGAACTTCTTGTATAGTATGGGTCAGATTGCAATCCCATGGGATAAATTGGAGGAAGATTATGTCAAAGCCCCTCAAAGATGGTCTGTCAAAGGTTTGCTCATGTTTATCTTATGGAATGGCTCAGTTTGCACCTTGTGTGATATAGCTACCCTTCTGTTCCTAGTGTTGTATTATAAAGCTTATGATGAAAACGATATGGCGTTATTCCATACAGCTTGGTTCGTTGAAGGGCTTCTCATGCAGGCACTGATTTACCACTTGATTCGGACGGAGAAAATTCCCTTCATTCAGGAGGTTGCTTCATGGCCTGTACTTTGTTCAACAGTCCTGATTTCTGCTGTTGCAATTGCCATTCCATACACGGTGATCGGAGATGTTATGGGGTTCGTTAAGCTACCACTGTCATATTTCGGATTTCTGGTTGTGCTTTTTATAGCCTATTTTACAGTAGGACAAATAGTCAAGAGACTTTATATCTTATTCTTCAAAATTTGGCTATAGATTAGCTTTTGGGGACGTAGAAGCGGGCAGAGTCTCTTTCCCCTTGGTACATACGAGAGAAGGTATGGAATGCCATTTCTCTTACAGAAATTATGTTTTGCACCAATATGTACTCACTGCCCCAACAATGTCATTGCACTCTGCGAATTTGCAGATATGAAGCAATTGGATACCTTATTGCAGAGCATATAAATGTAATGGTACAATTACAAAAGACTTAAAAAATTGAAGAAATTGCAAAAGAGAAGAAAGAAAAGCCGCATTTGTTCAAATCTGAGTCTCAAGCAAACTCTACTTGTCATAATAGTCGATGCAAGTAGAACCAGACAGATGCAAGTCCTAGGAACATCATACTCTTCAAAATTTGCTGCTTGTGTGAAATACCTGCATGAACAAGTTTGATATTGTTCAAACCCAAAGAACAGAAAACAACCCAGGTTGCCAAGATCAAGGTCAGAATATTTACTAAATTCAAGATAGTCGTTCTTCATATTCCACTCAAAATCCCAGTGCTCTCTGTCATTTTTGAGTGTCCAATATGCCCATCCAAATGAAGCAGCATTATAAACCTCCAACTGAGCGTTTCCAAAGTCTTGATAATCTGTCTTGGATCCATCAGTAACATTCCATTCATTGACCCATTCACCTGAAATCAACTCATCTTTAATGAGAATCACAAAAATGTAAACACTGCTCTCAGTTCCTAGATTATTCTGCACAAAACTATTTTTGATAAATTCTGCATATTTTCTGATATAAAGCTGAGCATTTCTGATATAAACTCTTTTCACTAATGTCTAGATTTCAAGATTAATCAGCACATAACCATAAAATCTTGAAAACAAACACTAAATTTGTCAATATAGAAATTGGAACTGGGAGTACCAACAAAAACAAGTGGACCATTGCTCCCATTGAGAACTTTTAGTTGAGCGTCCCTCTGCTGGTATATGAACTGAATGTTTTCCATAGGACTTTTGTTAACAAAAAAAGTGTCAAAGAGATTGTAGTAGTGCAAATCCAACACTATGTTATGGGACCCAATATTAGCCTGATAAAGTTCAAGTGGATCTGCATTGCCAATTTGTTGGCAAAATATCACATATGTTGTTGATGAATGCTTTCGGACAATTTGATAGCCTTGTTTGTAATATGAAATTAATATATCTAATGGAACTGATGCAGCAGATGGTTCGTTTAATAGCTCAATTCCCAGCAAGGCAGGATGCTTTCCATATCTGCAGAAAAGATGAAGATCCTAGGAATTAAATTCATGGTGGAAGAAACAGTATAAGTGCATACACACTCGCTTCTAGAGTTAAAAAACCACAAATCCAAAGGCTTTTAAAGTCAATCTGTTGTAATCTAACACTACATCGAGGTCCTCACTAGAAAATTTATAACATCCAGTGACTAGTAGAAAACATACCTGGAAGCTAGAAAATCTATAACATCCAAAGTTTGTGAGATATAGTCAGAAGAATTAGGCCACCCTGTTGTACCATCTTGACTGGCACTATGTTCCATCCCATTCTGGGAGCCAGGGGCTGCATGAAGATCAATAATGCATTTTATGTCATAGGCTCTGCATCACAATTTTTTGAAAAATAATCAAATAGATGCAGAACAAACAATATCAATCATCCTAAGCAGACAAGGTGAAAGCAAGACCTACTCTGCCCATGAGAATGCATTATCAAGAGCTTCTAAACTGCCCCCAATGAATGGGGCTGGAGGATTAGGATCAAAAGCAATCCACCAGCCAACAGGGATCCGCACAGCATTAATTTTATGTTTCTGGAGAAAGTTGAAATCTTCTTCCTTTACAAAACTGTTTCTGTGTGTCTGCATTTTCACAAAAGAAAAGAGTATAACCAATGACCAATCTGAATATTGAACATAGCATCTCTCATTTGAATTTCAGAAAATCAATGCATCTTCTTCTAATCCAGAATCCTCCAACAAAAGATTGTCTAGCTGTAGTGTTCATGTTGCTCAAATGATTTCAATCCATCAACTAGGACAACTCCATAGACCATAGATTGTTTGAAGACAAAAATAGAGGACACCAACATGCACATATTGACTCGTGTAGAGACAGGCATAGATGTGAAGACAACTGCTGTAGAAGCACACTTATATTAAGACAATTTCCTCTTGTAAATTCAGAAATTTATGGGAATAAAACTACATACTTGCAAATTTATAAGGATATTATACCCAATATTATAACATTTGTTGTCTCTAGCATACTAAGAAAGATAATAGGAAGTAATTATGTACCCAACATGATATTAATTGGCAATTATAACAGATTTTATTTGCTGTCCTGGAATTTCTAACCCTGCCCAATGAATAAGCTCAATTGTAAGGAATTGTAACATGAAATAGGTCATAACCCCACCCGTCTTTAAAAAGAAAAAGAAGAAGAAGAAGAAGAAGAAGAAGAATGAAACAACACCTGCATTACCACCGACCAAAAATAGGAAGGAAACAAGAAAAAAAAATTGTTTTTATGGTACCTCAAGAACCTCCTTTGCCTTATCATGTCCATACCCATTAGCAAGCTGGTAATCTCCGTGCAAGTTATTAGCTACAATTGTCATTTCAAATGTGGCACCATTATCATCCCATCCTGGTGTCCCTGGATAGTCTGCTGTAAGCTGATTTGCCATGGAAACCTAAATTATAAGATGCATTTTACTTTTATCACATTCTACTCCTCAAAACTTGAAATCAAATATAAAGTCTTAGTAAACTACAGATAAATCTTAACTGAGGAATTTAATTTAGTTTTGCTACTTGATGGCTGCAATTATAAAATGGAAGTCTTACCTTTCAGGTGTCGAGTTTACAAAATTCAAGAATTCTGTAATCATCAGATCTTTGTGAATGACAATGCTTTAACATACTCTTCATAATAAAAGTTTCTTAAATATTTCTGAACTTCTTCGAATATTGAGCATAATAATGGTTAAAATTTTTCCAGTATAAGTTCCCATTTAGTCAATGCCTTCTGTTATAGGGTTCACTCAGTAACTTTTGCAACAAAGAGAGGCTAAACTATTAGGTAGTACAAATATACTTAACTCCATTCTCTAAAGTGAAGAGTAGAGCTTTCCCAGAAACAAAGGCAAAAATATAGAGAGAATACCTGCAGATAAGTCCCACTCTTCAGTTTGATGTGAACTCGACTATTATTATTTCTTTCAACTTCAAATGTTTCTGTTGTTGAAGGTGATTCTGCTGTTGCAAAGATGGTGCATCCTTCACCAAAGCATGTTAGAAACTGGCCTAGAGATGTCCGGAACTGAAATTCTGATTCAGAAACTCTCCATAACTGCATAAGAAGAAAATTGCAGGATAACTAATCTGCACGCAGATAAGAATCTTTTATGTTCTGAACCAGCCACACCCTTTCATATGCCATACGGATATAGAATTTTGCCCAGACCCTTTCCCTAAATCCATTCTAATAACTAATGGCAAAGTAAGTTTTATTTTAACAGATACAGAATTCTAAGCAGGTCTGGTTACTATGAACCTCATCCATTTGGATTTTGACCAGAGCAAACTTAATAAAAACATCAAACATGCATGCCTATATTAGAGCTTGCCCAGCAGCACCCCCTCTCAATTGCATTTTTTTGTCCATTAAACATGAAAATTTTAAATTATAATTTTTGTATCCTCCTGTTGTGAACTTCAAGTAAAAAACCAGCAGGTAGAAAAACTTCTGCTTCAACACAATACCAGGGGAGTTAAAATGCAGTTCTGAGGACCAAGGATGCAAGCTTCTCACCGTAAAGGTCTCCCATGACAACGGAATATCTCTGTTAACTGAAACATCCATGCCACCTCCATTCTCTGCAGTGACATATTTCTGCAACGTCACTGACTTGAGTTGAATCTGTGTACCATCCTACATTTTGACATTAAGAATTAGCTCGCAGAATTTATCCTGGAAAATCACAAGTCCAAAAAACATGAAAAGAAATTAAATCCTACAAAGAAGAAAGCTTACTCACAAGCATATCTCCATTAGGAATGCCATCAAAAAGAGAAGGCTTAATCCAACCTTCCACAACCAACCACCCTCCCAGGTTCACTCCTCTCACTTTAGCATCCCCACGCAAACCCTCCACTTGAATTTTGCAAAAGAATTAGAAGAATATCTCAACAAGATGGATTTCTACACAATGAACATTCTGGAAACGGAATGCCAAACAAACTAAAATAAAAAGAGGAGCTCACCTGAATGTGCTACATAAAAGATGAGGCAACAACAAAGTGAAAATGCAACTACCCACTTGCCAAAAAGAATTTCCATGAAGAATGCAGGCCCTCAACTGCATCAAGAGAGCTGAAATATAGAATCCATTATCTGAAACAAAAAGAAAAACAACATTAAAAAAATGAGCAACACCTCCCAGGAAAAACACTTGAGAGAATCTAGGTAATTCCTTCCTTATCAGAGAATTATACCAAATTCAACCTTGTAAACAAGCACATTCATGATCTAATATTCAATTCGGGTTTTTGCCAAGTTAATTGCATTAAACAAGTCTTATTCTAAATCTATTTGGGGTACAGACAAAACAAAACCCTATCAAATTAAAAAGGAGAAGAAAAGAACATTGTTCTAGAGTGCCAAGGAATAAGTAGGGACCTGAAAGTGTTCACATGTAGCATACAAAATTGGAAAAAAAAAAAAAAAAAAGTTAAAAAGGGAGACTTTGCTTGTAGACTTGGTTGTGCTCTGTGTTGATTGGTTGGGTCAAGAAAGGTGAAAACCCCAAAGGTATGCTTTAAGCACAAGATAATTTGAATAAAAAGAGTAAAGATAAGGTGGTTCCACCATCTTACCTTTACAACCCATTCACCTGCAACTGCAACAATTTGTAAAATGAAAATAACTTCTAAAAAGATGAAATCTTTCATCTTCTTCCTGTAAACTTGTCAAAAGTTTCATCATTTCAGCTTCTGTTTTTACCATTATCGATAAATTTGGGATTTTGCCATTTGTTTCTTTCAGATTAATGGGACCATGAGAGAAAGAGAATCCAATCCATGGATGAATAATTTAGGGTAAAAAAAAGAAAAATAGGGCTTTTTCACTATTCATCACCAAATGAAGACACCTAGAGAGACAAATTTTGTGGGATTTGTATTTTGTTTAGAATTCAATGAAAACATGGAGTACCTCGGAAAAGGATTCCAAAAACCATCTTTGCTCCAGCTGCCTCTGCCCGGTGGCCGCTGGGAGTCAAGAAAAAGTAATTTCTTTGTTGACAGAGGGAATCTTCATCCGACCGACCTTGGTGACCGTGGGACTGTGGGCTCTGTCCCTCTCTTCGGATTCCTGCGCTGTTCTGAACATGTGCGCATCACAATGACTCATAATTAGTAGTAGTAATTTCTAAAGAGGATAAAGGGTACGTTTGGATTTTGGATGTAGGGGGAAAGGGAGAAAATCAAAAGCCGACCCTTACTTCAACTTGGAGCGGTGCTAGAAGCACTCGCCCTCGCCCTCGCACTCTCCAACCAACAGCTGCCCATGTGTTTCGCCACGTTACCCCCAATTTTAAGAGAATGGATAGGCAACCGGTTGTGAAATCCTTGGCCGAACATCAAACGTACACAAGATAATATGACATTTCTTTCTTCTACTACCTATGCAACAAGGGGAACTGGAAGTTCATCGTTATGCATTTTTGAGCCAATACGTTTGTGGATTCTTCACAGAGGCTTTCATGGGGTTGAAGGGATTCGAGAGTTGCCCTCCCTCTTTTCTTTTCCGTCATGATCAAACGTGGGTTTTTTACATCCGGTGATTCTCAGCCTTTCTACGATGTTTTTGTGTTTTATCAGCATCGTTCATTATACACATTTCAAATTTAGAGTGGTTTCATGCATTTTCCACATGATTTTCAATCTTGGCTTCCTTTCCTAACATCATCTTTTATGGATCTTCTCTCAATCACAGATTTGTCAAGATTTCCAACCTCTTCAACATAAATCTTGATATATTTAAAGACTTTAATTATCTCTTAACTTCAATCCAACATTAGATTTGGTCACTAACTATCCACCTTTTCTCCTTCTCCAACTTCAGATCTGGTCACCGTCCATCCAACAAATTTATTTGAGGCTAAAAGTTTCTTCTCCGGCTTTCTCTTTCTTACTTTCCTTTCTCACCGTTTTGAAATTTGGGTGTGAGCTAGATCCAATTAACAGTTGTCAGGAGGTGTTACAGACTTACAGGTGAGAATAGAAATAAAGAAAAAAAATGGGAACTTGAAAGAGTAAGTGTTAGATGAGGAGGAAAAGCGAACGGGAAATAAAGAGCCAAAATTTTCTTTTTTTATTAAAATGTTTTTGGTTTAATCTAATAACCGCTAATTCTGATGTGTCTAAGGTTTCGTTTGGTGTAACTTTTTAAGTATTTTAATTTTTTTGGTATTATTTATATTTTATAAATTTAAATTTTTTAAAAAAATTTTATATTTTTAAATATTTTTTTAATTTTAAAAAGATTATAAATAGTAAAAAATTAAAAACTTTAAATTTAAGTTTATCACTCATAAATAATAAAAAAAAAACAAAAAACAAAAATTTTAACAAACGGCACCAAACAACCGTATGTCGGTTTCCCTTTAAAATTAAAGCTAGCGTGGCAAAACTGCCGCGCAGGTGTTAGTGGGAGAGTGCAAGGGGCGAGTCCCTTGGCACTTCTCTTTCATCTTGAGGTGAGGAGATAGAATCTTTCTAGTTGGTTGAAACGTGGTTGAAACGTGAAAGAAAATCGAAAGTTAAAATTACAGTAGAATTTTTGAATTATTTATATATTTATATATATTAATATTATAAAAAAATAAAAATAATATTTTTAATATTTATTTTTTTAT